GTCAATTATGATTTATGCCCTAGCTTTAATGTGAATCAAATCATGCAGATGATCAGAAAAGCAGTGGTTAAAACAAAACATGACCTAGCACAATGTTTAAATGTAATTAAGATTGAGGACTGCAGATCAACAGTAATACATGTTTTTTTAGGATAATTATCATCACAATATTATATCAACTGAAATCAGAATGTGTGCATTACTTCTGCACACAGTTTCCTTCTTCCTCCGTACTTCACAATTAAAAAGTTATAACAACTTGTTTTCTCAGGAAAAAAAAACCTATGAGAAGAGATAAAACACTGCCTGTTTCCTATTATTGCTTCTAACAACGTTCTGCTAATTTCGTCCACCGGACTTCCACAGAATGAAAAGCCTGCTTCAGAAAGTAGACTTCTTAAAGTGCCAACTGATTGTTATCAGCTTGTTATTTTAATAGACCCTGCACTTTAAAATAAGCTTGAACCATCTGCTCCTTTCTCTAGTTATAGAAGGCAGAATCAACCTCCAGCAATGCACAAGAATATAGAATGCAATCTTTGTTTACTTAACTCTGCTTTTCATGCAACTCTTGCTGCCAAGAGTCTTTAGAAGCCTCTCCAAAGAACAAAACCAGCATCAGACTCCACAATTGCATGGTGCAGGCGGGTTTTTTTCTTCCCACCTGATGCAGCCTGTCGAAGGCAGTTTTGCAATTGTACATTTTTACAGACATGAAGGAATGAATGTGTGGCTCCTAACACAATCACCCTTAGCAATAAAGGCACAACTACGTGTTTGAATGCCCTGCAAAAAGTCATTTATAGCAAACTAGTAGGTAAGATGCCAAGCTAAAAACCAGGAGACTGTGAGTTCTAGTTCCACCTTCAGATATGAAAGCAGCTGGGTGACTTTGGGTCAGTTACTCTCCTGCAGCCCAACACACATCGCAGGATGTTGTTGTGGGTAAACAGGAGGAAGGAGCATTAGATAGGTCTGCCACCCTAAATTATTTATAAAACTGATAAAAAAATAGAAGAATTAAATATAGAAATGTGTATGATATTTTCAAAGGTTTTGCTCTAAACATCTATAAGATGCAATGTACTTTCCAAAGACCTCGTCCTACTCTTCTGCATTTGCTTTTGCAGCCACAGCTTGTGGCCGGACACTATTATTCTAAGGAATTCAAAACTTTTTTTTCCCCTTTGTATCAGACAAGGGACATTTTACCATATAGACTCACAGTTAAACTGACCCTTGATTTTTTAATCAAAATTGCATGAAAAATGTGCCACCCACAAACAGGCCAAACCATATTTTTCATTGTATTTTGGTTAAAAAAAATTGAGTCTGTTTATCCACTCTTGGAGTGTATACAGTATTTCCTTACATTGTATGCATTAGTTGTAAAAATACAACTTGATTTCTTAAAGGAAGTACTTTTTCATTATATTTTTCTAACAATTGTTTTTCAGAAAGCAGTTTGTGACAATGGAAATGAAAGATATATAGACATGGTTTTTGTGTTCAAAATACAAGATTGGAATATTTTTTTCCCCAGCAACATCCACCTTGTTTTGTGTCAGTTTTCACTCTCACTGTACAGGTTAAGACAACTTTCCCGATCCTTACAATCTTTACCCACATCCAAGATTCAGAATGCTACAATTCAAACCCTCTTAGGGGACAGTAGATTAGCGAAGGCCACAGTAAGGTATCTATAACCAGTAGTACGTCCGTAACACTTTTGAACCTTTGGGATTTCACTTACTTAAAATACAGTGTCTTTATCCATAAGATAAATGATGTAATCTTTTTGTTGTGGGATAAACTAACTTATCTGCATTATAAAGGAGTTGCATCTTCATAACGCTAATTTACAGCACTGTTGATTCCATGAAAAAAATATGTGTTTAACAACTGTAGCATTTGCCACAAAGAATTTGATAACTGAGTAGTTATAAATAGGGCCCATATGGCAGTGACCAATGCTTAAAGATCCCATGCTGTTATCGTTCCAGGGAAAGAACCGTGTGCTTCAGATGGACCTAAAGCTACAGTACTTTTTTTTTTTTTCCCTTGCTGTGACAGTCTTCTTGAAATTCTATTAGGGCTATTATACAACTGCTGGGCCCCCTGCTTTTCAACTCTCCTTAAATGCTCATTTTCATCTCAAATATCAGCAGGGGAGATTCAGCTAAGAGGACTGTCACTTTATTTATTTATAAGGACATTTGTAGTCTGGGATTGTGAGACAGATACACCAAACTCATCGCAAATTTGTAACAATAGAAGTGGTTTCATTTGGCATTGCTTATGATATGCATAAAATTCAAAAGCTGGTGTTTAGGTGCTGAATTAACATTAAAAGATGATCAGCAGTACTAGGTAGGTGTGGTTAAAATGTAGAAAGTCCTTGATTGAGTTTCAACATCTTTCTTTTTCTTTTCTTTTCTTTTTTAAATAAAATCAGTTTGGGATGGGAATAGCTACCTAAAACTGTAGATGCTGTTCCCAGGAAAGAGATACAAGACTAGATAAAATACGAGTCTGACTCAACGGCTTTTATGACAATTTAATGATGCTAACAGAGCAACTGCAAAATATTATAAGTATGACAAATATCAGGTTTAAGTTTCAAAACAGCCAAGCCCAAGTCTTAGTGCCAGACAGAATTATTTAATATGGTTTGTTCCAGGTGTCTGGCCAAAATTCCAATTTGAGAAGAAACTATTCATTTCATGCTGCCATAAAGAGAACCTTTATAAGAAGGCGAGAAGGAGAGGGAGAGGAACTTTATTGTCACTTTTTCTGTGAATAAAGAGGCTACATCTGATAATTCGGTAACCAAAGCTAGATTCAGGATTATAGAACTAAAAGGGACCCTGATCATTCAGTTTGACTTCATGGTCAGCATCCAAGTCCAAACTAAAGCTGAAGACACATGGCTGTTTATTTTCTGCTTGGGCATGCATAGTGCATGAAGACCCACCAACACCAGTTCTTCTGTCAAACTCTCATTGTGAAGTAGTTTTCCTAACCCTCCATTAGTATCTGCCTTCTTATATCTTAACTTCATCACTCTGCAACAAAAGAGAGCCAGATTGACTTTTTATAAGACAACCTTTCAAATCTCTCTCATATTCCCCTGCCATTAACTTTTCTCAACACTAAATATACTCAGTTCCTTTCACCTGTCTTCATATGACTTAGTTTCTAGATCCTAATCAACTGTTCAAATTCTGACCCCAAATTGCCCCTCTACTGGCGTTCACGTCATAGAACAAGTCAGTCCTGATGCTTTGTGTTTATATCACTTTTAATGCATATAGAACGCAACAAGAATAGGAATAAATTGTATAATGAAATCCATTTAAGTGGTGGGCTAGTACTCAGTTATTTCACAGAGATAAAGCAGGCTCCATATATATTGACATTCTCCAGAAATTTTTTATAACAGGTATGAGAAACATGTGGTTCTGCAGATTTGCATAAATACAATATTCACCGGCACCAGACAGTATGAACAATAAGTGATGCTGGGAATTACAAATCAGTTAATATCTGGGAAATTGCAGATTCTCCTGAAAAGGATCTAAGGACCCCCATCACCCACAGTTGTGTGTCACTCGGGTAATACTTAGCCTGATATTTATACCATACAATGCAAAATCTATCTGTTCTATCAAAATTATGAATCCTTGATGTCAGACATTGTCTGACTAGTAACAGAATAAATTCTTCCCTATTTTGACTTTTTCAAAATGATTCCTATTATCCTATAACCTTTCCCTGTGGAAAAATATTTATCAAAGTTATTGTATGCTACAGGAAATGCTATTACAGTCTCTCCTCCTGTAACCAGCAATAGGACTTAATTGATTACCCTAATTCGAACCCTATTAAGATTATTGTTTGTAGCAACCAATAAAGTTAGAAGAGAAGGAAGGAAAACATACAGCATAATTACTTAAAAAAGAAGCATAGGAGGTAAAACACAAGATTAACTTTTGAAGAACAGCCCAATGTCTTTTAAAATATAACATTTTAATCTTACATACATACTCTTTTTATGCAAATGGTCTCTTGGCAAAAAAAAAATGGCAGTTACTATTTTGATCCTCTACTTAATTCATTAGATTTATAGCCAAATTTCTTCTAGGCGTCAGCATGAAAAGTGCTTCTTCCTCCAACTGTTCCTACCACAACAATACTGATTAAAGTCAGTCAATTAGCCTCCATGACTTTGTAAGAAGTTGAACCTGCATCCCCAATCCTGAATAGGGAAACACACACACACACTATCAGTGATGGCGAAGCTTTTAGAGATCGAGTGCCCAAACTGCAACCCAAAACCCACTTATGCATCGTCGGGTGCCAGGTGGGTGTGGCCCATTGGCTGGGTGTGGCCCATTGGCTGGGTGTGGCTGCGGTGGTAATGACAGACTGGGTGGGACTAAAAAGTTCAATCAATCAATTCCAACTTTGCAAGATCTTTTTTTTTCCCGTGAGAAGTTGAAATTGACTGATTGAACCTTTTTTTTTTTTTTTTGGCACACGGCAGCGGAGGCCTAAAGCGAAAAGCTTTTATAAAACCCAGCTGAAGGCCTAGGACTGGGGCGACGGCACGCGTGCCCACAGAGAGGCCTCTGAGTGCCGCCTCTGGCACCCGTGCCATAGGTTCGCCACCACTGCACTATATTTTATCTGTTCAGCTTGGCTCACCATCCCAAGCACCCAGCAAAGAAAACCAATAACTTGTCAAATTCAATTACATGGTTCCTTTTTTTATTTTCATTGGAAAGTGCCTATGCCTACAAGTTGGTGTGAGTGTTGATAAGAACAAAGGGGACGGGGAGGAAATGCCACAAATGAAGGCTTATCATGGATCAGTAAGAAATGTGCTGGGCCTCCAGGGATTTGCAATGTGAACTCATTGTTCCAAAACTGACTGAAGAACCTGTGCAAATACAAAAGATCTCCCCCTTCACACTCCTGTCTCTGCAAATCAAGCTTACCTTATAATTGCTGGAATTTACCCACGAGGTAGCAAGACCATCAACCATTTTATCCAGCATGGTCTGATCATGTTCAAGGTCAGCAGATTTCTGTCTATCTGAGAAATAATCTATCAGTTCTTGGCCAACCTGAAGTCGTTTCCCAACATCTTTCTGCAGGACCTGCATCAAGCAGGACTCCATTGTGGGTTCCATAATGTTCTAGAAAGAGGGCAGAGGCAGAAGAGAAACTAGAGGGCGGTAGGTTTGAAAAGTCCTCCTGCAGATATTATCCTTGAGGTCGCCTCTTTGTTTGAAGAAGGTTACCAAGGTCCTGGATTTCAAAGATGTGATTCTGGGAATGACAACAATGCACCATGTGTGTCTAAAGAGCAGCTGGCAGGTTATTAAAAGTTCAATTCAAATAACTAGTAATAGATAAATAAAGCAGAAAGCAGACCAGCTAGGCTGTAGGACCAGGTTTGTGATGGTTTCCAAATCAGCAGTCCATCCTGAAAGAAATTTTAAAAAGGCAAAAGTTAGTGGCGAATATTGAGCA